TACCACTAGGACTGACTGATTCCTTTATTTATCTAAATAGGAAAATACAGAAATGGAATATCCTAAAACTGGTCACATTTAAGATTTCATTAGCATATTTGAGATATAATTAGCTTAACTGACACAGATTAAGGCTAGTCTTGAAATAAACTGCAATGTCAACAGTATTTCACCATCATTAGCTTAAGCTAAATCATGGTCTGGTAAACCAGCCCTAAGTGTATTTTAATGTAGGTTGACTTCATTCTTTTCACTTAAGATGTGATAAATTTAGAATATTTTTTACAGTGGAGATGTGGGTTTAGGTTTTTTCATTGGGTGGTACAGTTTGCCATTAAACGTAAGTATGTACATTTACCAATTTTTATGTTGTGAGTAATGATTCACCTTTTCTGTTCATAAACATAATCACAGCACAGTTGCTCTCTGGGATGACTTCTATTTCAAAGAATTTTGATTCTGGCTCTTCCAACTTGAGGATATTCTCCACCAGCATAACCAAGAACTCCTGACTCATGTTCTGGATGTTTTCCAGCACAGCTGATCTTCTACCCAAAACTTCACTCTCTTCAGCTGGCTCTGGCTTCTTTGCCTCCTCAGTCTGAGGGTCAGCCTCTGGTGGCTCTTCATCTTTGCCTGGTAATTCTTCTTGGCTGCTGACAGCTGCAGAAACATTTTTAGTCATTTTTTTGTCTCTTTTAAGGCAGGACAACAATGTGCATATTTCGTCCAACAAATACAGATCAGCGGTTCTCAGCCCAGTCCTAGGAACTCCACACTTTTCATCTTCACTATTCTAACAAACTTGGTTTAACTCATTAAATCATTATTAAAGCATTAATGAGCCATCAAGCCCGATTTATAATAATAGGTAAAACACAAACGTTTGCTGTGTCTGGGGTCTGACTGAGACACCAGGACCCATAGCTGTAGCTATCATATTAGTTTTGTACTTACAGACATCAAATCAAGGTTACAATGATCTAATTATTTAAATTGCCAATCATTATAATAGAAAATTTAGTTATAACAAATTCTATATTGTTCAATGCAATGTTTATTTTGAGTAGTTTGACTGAATATTACTTCTTAAAGTCTAAAAACCTGTAAGTGGACCTACATTTCAGTTCCTCACTGTCATGACAACATAACTCACATATTAGTTTCATAGTAGTTACTGGTAGTTTCTACATAATAAATGATAAAATGAATCACTGAAAAAATAAGACTAGGGTTCAAGGGGTTAACAGTACATGGTACAGTACCCAGACTTGTATCCTGTGACAATGGCAGTGTGTATAGTACAAGCACAATATAAAAGTCTGTACCTTGATATATACACAAAACGACTACAACATAAATACAAATAAGTAGACATGCACAGAGTCATATAGAGTTATATACAGAGACATAGGAGTTTCATTCCAAACTGCATTAAAGACCACTTTCATGAACTTTCTTTTCCAATATATAAGTTGTTGGCAGTGTTGGCTTTGCATGTATACAATATATGTCAATATACCAATGATATGTTATGATTAATGATTAACATACCAATTTTATTATAAAAATAAAAATATGCAGCATTTCAGCATTTTGGAACTAAACTCTTCTTAATCTAAAACTGTAGAGCTATTTATTTGGACAGTAAAAAGTTTCTTTCCAGAAAAAAAAAACATGCATACTGTTGAGAAAAGTTTTAAACAGTTTCCTTGAGTGCCTAAGACTTTTGCACAATACAGTATGTCAGTTCATTTTAATGACAGTGAATTATTGTTGTTTTGTTGCAATTTTTAGTGTCAATTTTCTTTTCTTTAATAGTTTCACTTTTTGGTTATATTTTAGTCTGATATTTACATAAATGACAGAAAAAAAACAACATTTTCAGTGAACAGTATATCACATTATACTAAAGGAGTCTTTAAATGAACTTATTCATACGTATGGGTTATGAGGGTGATGAGCAAATTACTTTCACTACATGGTTCTCAATAATTCTAAATCATTGTATATAAACAAAAGGTGTAAAATACAGCAAAAGTCTGGACACACCTACTCATAGATTCCACATTAACATTTTAGAAAAACAGTAAAGACATCAAAACTATAAAATAGCACATATGTTATATCTCAATGTTATCTATAGCTATCTGCAGTGCTTTTCCAACAGAACTCAAGAAGATCTGCATCTACTGAAACTTGTTGGCTGCTGAAAATGACCTTGTTTTGGAAATAACTTCATGCATATTCATCTACGTTACTATTTTATATTTGTCGAATCTTCATAATCTTCACGACGATGAAAACATACTTGCAATCAGGTGTGTCCAAACTTTTGACCGGTACTCTTTTTCCAAAAGAAAGTAAATTAAAATTAAAATTAAATGGAACTAACCAAAAAGCCTTGGCTTTTTGAGGTCTACCACTGAACTCAGCTCAGAACAAGCTTCCGTCCGCCTCTTAAGAGCTGCAACGTCAGTGTCCGTTGAGTGTGGAATGTCTGTGGTATGTACATGTGAGTAAAACTAAGTACAATATATATATATATATATATATATATATATATATAGTAGGGCTGTCACCATCGATTATATGAGTAAGTGAGTAATGTACTGTATATTTGGACGAATAATCAAGTAATCGGGTCTTCAAATTAGCCAAAACAACAAAAACGAACTTAACTGAACAGCAGGAAACCATTCACAACCTTTTAAAGATTCCAAGATACTTTTAAGGAAGCCTTAAGGTGGAATTCTGTGTTCGGGAAACATTCTGCATAATTAAATTATTACGATATGAAGTCATTCAGAGTGGTTTTACGCGAAATGTTCACAGTAGTAGTGGTAGGAACCAGAGGTATGAAGAGTTGAATGTCTAATTATTAAGCTACAACACAGAAATATATTACCAGAAAGGGTTACTGATGCTGGAGACATTATTTCACGATAATTTTGAGAAAGTTTTGGCATAAAACATGTTTTTGTGCATTCATGGCATAGAGGTATATGCAACACGTTATTAAGCAAAAATGAAATATTTTTACAATTTTTACCAAATAAAAACTTGAAGACACATGCACTGGTCATTAATTATCATGGTCCTGAATTATCAAACAAATTAAATTATTGGTGAAATTCTCCTTTAAAATACCTAAAAACACTATGTACCACTTGAAAGTGCACAGAAATCTGTCAGGCCTAGGTTTTGTTTCATATCGTAACAGAGACCAGTAGGGGAATTTCAAATATGCGTATTCATCATGCAAATTGCTTGCAGATTCACTAACCAAGTAAATAAATTGACAATTCTTTTTTTCAATCGATTAATTGTGACAGCCCTAAAATAATTCACAATAAAAGCACTTTATGATAAGTGAAAGGGTAATTCCACCTATTTTTCTAAATTTCTTCTGCATAATTAAATTGTTAAGATGTAAACAATGTCATCCAGGGTGGTGAAGAGAAACGTACAAAGTCCAAATTGTTCACAGTGGTGGTGATAGGAACCTGAGTAAAGCATTTAATGCCTGAGAAGCATTTAATGCCTCTAAAAGCTCCCTTACAGACGGTTATAACATAAAATATTTATGATTATGTTGCCTGATGACTGAGATATTGTTTTATAACAGTCCTGAGATATGCTTTTGGGCTGAAATATATATCAGGGCTGGGCAATATGACAATCAACAAAACTCAAAAGACATTAATTTTGCAAAATAAATAACATATTTTTGTGGTAGACATTGACACACTGTGTTCTCTGGTTCCCATCACCACCACTGCAAAGAAATGTGAGTCAGTTTCTCTACAATGAAATACCATCACATCAAACCACTCTAAATAAGTTTGTTAACATCTCAAAGAATGAATGATGCTGAAATTTTGAAAATATCGGTGCAATTTCCCTTTGAATGTATCTGAAAGAAAAGGCAGTCTAGGGCTGCTGAGAAATCCTGTCATGTGTACAGATCCACCTCTAGAGGGAAGCAGGCTCTCACTGTGCCATCATGCAAATGGACAACAGTCTGCTGTTACAAAATCTGAGGGCTTCACAAATCCATGAAGTGTCACACTTAGCTCACCTGTCTGATCTGCTTTGGCCGGAGACTGAGGTTCCTGGAAAATAAACAAACCAGACCTCAGACGTCACATTACCACAAGTGACATGAACCGATCATATAATGTTACACGCCAAATGAAAGCACGTTTTAATTTAAATATAGGAAAACAATCACCTGAGCAGCTTCTGGAGAGAGATAAACAATCAGGCTCACAAGGTTTTGACCGATCTTAGCTTCGTGTGTTTGCTTCTCCAGAACATTTCTCCTCACTACACAGAGCGGAAGAGACAGCAAGACGAGCTGATTAAAGCAGACTGAACATACTTCTAGTTTACATTTTTCAGCCTGTTTACCCATTCGAGGAGTTTATGAATTTATGTTTTCGAATTAAATTACTTGTAAGTGTCAAAAAACACACGGTACACTAAGATCCACATTACCTTCTTCCGTTTTGAAGCTCACAGTCGCTTTCTGTGCCTCCAGCAGCTCCACACAGCAGTCTCCTCCGTTAGACTTCTTACTCTGGAAATAAATGGTCAGCTTGTTTTTTAACTTGGGGGTCTTGGGGTCCCATTTGCCCTCGACAAACAGGGCGTAAGGAAACTCGTCGGCCATCGCTGGCTGTCTAATGCGAAGTAAGTTAGTCTTCGAGGCGAAGCAGTTTAGGTGGGACAGTTTCACTTTTGCTTTCCCTAAATGGTGAAGAAGAGTGGTGGAAACAATTTTCCCGTTCCACCTTAAATGGCGCCGCAGTTAATGGTGCAGCATGAGGCGTCAGAATGTAACTGCTGCACTATTTAAGGTGGAACGGGAAGATTCGAACAAGAAGCTGGCGAAGACGTAGCTGACTTCAGCTTCGTGTTACTCGTGTTACTAGTCCTCTTTCACACGGGAACATCCACCACAAGAGCTCATTTGATCGATTTTTGGGAGAAAAAAGACCATAAATGTAAAAGTGGGGCTACTTTAAACCTGAGACGAAGTGGCTTTTCGTGAAACGCCCTTGGTTTCTTGTAAAGAGAAACTAGGCTAAGCTGGGAAAACAAGTTTTACTTTCGCTTTTTTATATGTAACGACGTACTTAGTCTTCGCCGTCGTTTTTCAGGCGCATTTTGCTTCCTCCATAAATCAGGTAAGATGGAAGAATCTTTACATTTAGCTGAATTTTTCATCAGGTTAGCCACAGCAGAACACGAACATAGCAGCTTTGTTATATGTACAGTAAAGTTCGTAGCGTTAGCTTAGCATACTTTACCTTATCTGATGTTTTGAACGGATGTGAATGCTAGCGCGCTTTATTTTATTAGGCTAGTCGTATAAAACTTTTTCCGTCTAAATGATTTTCCGTCTAAAATCAAACGTAGTGACTGTTTAGTTTTTTAAAGCTTTATTTAGTTTTGAGGACAGTACAGCTTTAGTCACTCGGATGTAGTTGCTTCCCCTACGGCAACGATAAATGGCCATTTGTGACAAATACAGCTGGGGAATCCATATATCGCTGCTGTCGGAAGAAAACATCGTATCTCCAAAATGTTAACTTTAAAGGAGAGGGAAAAAACATTTTAGTTCTGAATGGAAGTTAATGGAACTAGATTTTTCCAAGCACTTCTGGAGCATTTCTGGGTGTCCGTTCATCATGAAATTTTGGCACATTGTGAAGGTCAACTATCATTTTCTGAAAAGAAAAAAAAGTACAAAACGAAAAATGGAGATACGGGGTTTTCTTCCGACAGCTGCGATATGTTAATACATGTCATATATTTGAAGTCCATATATCAGATTTCTGTATGTTCCTATGGCATTTTGCGTCACTTCTGGCAAAAGGTGGGACACTTTTTGGTGAATGCGGCAGGAGACTCTCCTACTCAAGCCTTTTGTGTTTTTATGAGTTATCGCAAGCCTCCTAAATCAAATGCATGAATATTATAGACCCTGGAACACTGGTCACTGGTCTCGGTCTCGATTTTAAAATCATTACACCCCTAGTGTATTTACTGTACGCTACTAGCAGTACAGTAAGACATGTTGATCAACAATACATTGTATCACATATGACTGAATGAATAACAATCATGAACTGATTTGGCTTAATATTCTTAAAAATAGGTGCCTCTAAATTTCCTTCGAGATCAATAAAGTATCTGTCTATATATCTATCTATCTATCTATCTATCTGTGGGGTGGACCGCAGACTGCTCAACACAAGACCTCACGAACATCAGTGAGGCAGGCTAACACTATACATACACTATATTGCCAAAAGTATTCACTCACCCATCCAAATCATTGAATTCAGGTGTTCCAATCACTTCCATGGCCACAGGTGTATAAAACCAAGCACCTAGGCATGCAGACTGCTTCTACAAACATTAGTTAAAGAATGGGTCGCTCTCAGGAGCTCAGTGAATTCCAGCATGGTACCATGATAGGATGCCACCTGTGCAAGTCCAGTCGTGAAATTTCCTTGCTACTAAATATTCCACAGTCAACTGTCAGTGGTATTATAACAAAGTGGAAGCGATTGGGAACGACAGCAACTCAGCCACAAAGTGGTAGGCCATGTAAAATGACAGAGCGGGGTCAGCGGATGCTGAGGGGCATAGTGCACAGAGGTTGCCCACTTTCTGCAGAGTCAATTGGTACAGACCTCCAAACTTCATGTGGCCTTCAGATTAGCTCAAGAACAGTGTGTAGAGAGCATCATGGAATGGGTTTCCATGGCCGAGCAGCTGCATCCAAGCCTTACATCACCAAGCACAGTGCAAAGCATCGAATGCAGTGGTGTGAAGCACGTTGCCACTGAACTCTAGAGCAGTGGAGACGTGTTCTCTGGAGTGACGAATCACGCTTCTCTGTCTGGCAAAATGGACGAGTCTGGGTTTGGCGGTTGCCAGGAGAACGGTACTTGTCTGACTGCATTGTGCCAAGTGTAAAGTTTGGTGGAGGGGGGATTACAGTATGGGGTTGTTTTTCAGGAGTTAGGCTCGGCCCCTTAGTTCCAGTGAAAGGAACTCTTGATGCTTCAGCAGACCAAGAGATTTTGGACGATTTCATGCTCCCAACTTTGTGGGAACAGTTTGGGGACGGCCTCTTCCTGTACCAACATGACTGCGCACCAGTTCACAAAGCAAGATCCATAAAGACATGGATGAGCGAGTTTGGTGTGGAAAAACTTGACTGGCCTGCACCTGACCTCATCCCAATAGAACACCTTTGGGATGAATTAGAGCGGAGACTGCGAGCCAGGCCTTCTTGTCCAACATCAGTGTCTGACCTCACAAATGCACTTATGGAAGAATGGTCAAAAATTCCCATAAACACAATCCTAAACCTTGTGGAAAGCCTTCCCAGGAGAGTTGAAGCTGTTATAGTTGCAAAGGGTGGGCCGACATCATATTAAACCCTATGGATTAAGAATGGGATGTCACTCAAGTTCATATGCGTGTGAAGGCAGACAAGTGAATACTTTTGGCAATATAGTGTACATTATTATGAAACACCTTGGCTTACGTACATGGATTAGCTCTTAAAAGTGATAAGAACAGCAAATGTGGGGCAGCACTTAAAACCTACATTATCAAATGGCTACATAGAATTTTAAAACCAATAAATGTTTCACAATTTTTAAAATATGATGTTGAGTGGAGACATACATGTGTGAGAATTGACAAAATGGATGGAGGCTAAATTGAATTAAAAAAGGGATTCCTGAAATCAGGAATTTTTTAACAATTGGGCACCAAGCAGAAGGTTTTCATGTCTAATGTGATGGAGGTTTGTGCATTGAAAGATGCCCTTTCAGGTGAGCCCTGCGAAAGCTAGTACTGCAGCTGGTCATAGGAAATGAGGAGATGCTGAGGAGGACTTGTCAACTTGTATCCAAGGTCTTTTAGCAAACTTTAATGAAACAATAGGATAGCTCTGTCTATTGGTAAAAATTCTCATAGACCATTGAAAAAATATTTTTATTATAAAAAAAGACTTACTATACTTACTATAATTAGATATTCATACATGTATATAACCCATTGAGACTTAATTTATAAGTACATACATGTTGGAAAGAGAGGGTAATAAACAAACACAAGATTCAGACTCAGTAAAATATACATCATCAGTGGCAGTAAGTAAATGAGAATCTCCATGTTGCAACAGATGGGGAGAACATTCAAATCACATTTTAGTGATGACTCTGAAAGACCATTCTCATGTGCTTTCATTTCTTCTTTTAAGGGATCTCTGCTGTTTTTGGCTTGAGGCAAATTAGCAACAATGACTTCCACAGAATGTATTCCACTCACTGTAGAGTCAACTAAGATTCTGGAAAAAAGTCATCTTGCCTTTTGCAACACTGTAAATGGAAAATTTGGTTGTACAGCTGTGTTCCGCAATGTGGATTTTACCACTGCTTCATCCATTGGCAGCAGCAAAGGAACAGTCATACCTGAAATTAAGTACTCAAAACAGCTGCCTGGAGGCCTGAAGATATCTGTGTGGAAGGATGATCTCACAACTCACAAAGCGGATGCTGTGGTCAATGCAGCCAATGAGCAGTTAAGTCATGGAGGAGGACTTGCAGAAGCTCTGTGCCGAGCCGGAGGTCCTCAAATTCAACAGCAGAGTGACCAAATCATAAAAGTGCGGGGACGTGTTGCTACAGGTGAAGCTGTTGTCACCCCAGCTGGAAATCTCCCTTGTAAATACATCATACATGCGGTTGGCCCCCATGTGCCCCCAAATCCATCGAAGAGGGACATTGCTGCAGCCGCGCCCTTGCTGGAAAAAGCTATGTGGAGCATCCTTCAATGCACTCAGTTTCACAACTTACAGTCTGTTGCAATCCCTGCAATTAGCTCTGGCCTTTTCAATTTTCCACGGCACATCTGCGCAGACATCATTGTAAGAGCTGTGAGGTCCTTTAGTGATGTGAGAAACGCGCAAGGCATGAACCTAGAGGTCCGTTTAGTGAATAATGATGATCCTTCAGTTCAAGAGATGCTAAGAGCTTGCAAGGAAATTCTGGGGGCGTCTGACCCCCAAAGTGGGGCAATGCAAATCCAAAGCACCTCATCAGCCACGTCAATATGGCCCCGTCTGGAGCTGGGAAACGTGACTCTCTTCCTCAAAAAGGGCCCCATTGAGGCAGAGGCAGTAAGTAAAAGAACATAATAACGACAATTTATTAGCCTCTATAAACTACCATTTCTCTAGGAAATTATGATCAGTATTTAATTTTTTTGAGTAAACTAAGTCATTTTTACCATCTGATCATGTCATTTGTAACCTTTCTCAGAGTATTCTCTTTTGTGTGTACAATATGTAGTACTCAATTAATGTTTGCCAGTTTATTCATTTAAGATTTGAAATAAACATCTGCTATTATATTACTTGCATTTCTTAAAAATATGATAATCCCACTTAAAAGTGTATATTCACCAACCCCCCACATTGTAAAACATGGCAAGGGTCATAGTGCAAGTGCAAAAATAAGGCACAAAATAGGGTGCAGGTGTGTTGCATATATTGTCGCATTATATTTAACTTTAACGTTATGCTTCTGGTATTAAATTTGGAATTTTAAAGCAACAATCCACTTGTTTGTGTATTATAGTGGTATTAACATGGTGTGTTGTTAGGTATGACGAAGTGGAGGAAAAAATGAGTTTTTAATAAAATCAAAATTAATAATTATAGCCCAATAATAATAATAATAATAATAATAATATCTTTATTTATTTACACTTTATTAATTTATTTACACTTTACAACTTACAACCTTACAAATAAACCTAATCCTGTAAATAAAATGAAAGCAATTGAAGTGAGTACAGTGGAAAGTTATAGAATTAAAAACACCACACTGTCAACTCAAATGGTTTGAGGAAATCGATTGCCTTAAACGGTTTAGTGTTAAATAACTTAAACCATTTAACCATAAATAATTCCCTGAACTGAGTACAAACAAAACATATGTTTATTGTTGTATACACTTAAGTAAACTGAATAAACTGAACTAACACCCTCCATTTTGTTTGTCTTAAAATGATTCTGTCATCATTAATGATGTTCTTTCTAACTCAATTATACATCTTCTAATTGCTCTGGACCATCTTGGTAACTAGCTAATGTTCAGCGTAAAGCGTTAATGTAGCTTCAGAAGTGTTTTGCTACTACTGTACCACACCCAGCAAGCGTCACTTTAGTAACTCTCTCCGTTGATATCGAAGGAATTGAGTTACAAATACTTAAAATACAACCATACGCCTATAGGAAGGTAGGCTGGGTAGAATGATGGTAGGGTACAGAAGGTGAAAAGATCTCATTTGAATGTCTGAAATCAATAAAGTTATGAGAAAAACACAAAAAGTCCAAATCATTTAAATGTAAATAATGAGTTATCACATAAATTTACTGATACAGAACACTTCAACAGCTCAACCACTGAATCAACTGATGTTTTAGCTAAAAACATTAGAACATATTTAATTTGTGCTGAGGTGACCAGCTACTCCTGATAGGCAGACAAGACTATTTCATGTGCTTGACCATTACCTTTAATGTGGGTAATTCTGAATAAGCTAAAACTAGGAGTGATACATGGAGTAAACAGTCTGTCATTCATTATAAGTGTGCATACATAGTTAGAAGAGAGAAAAATAATCCAGCCACACTCAATTGTCATCTTTAAAACCAGCCCCTTATTGGCCTGTTTGTATTTGTGTGTAATGACAATTTAAATAAAAATAGTGAATATATTTAAATTATCTTAACTATCTCAACAAATTTCAAAATCAAAACATTTTTAAGTTAATTTGAATTTTTCCAACTTTCAGTAGAATTTAAGTTGTGTTAACTTAATTCTTTGATTGTGCAGTCTTTTACAGTGCAGTAATTAAAGCCCAAGGGAACCTAAATCTGTATTTTCTTTCTAAATAGGTTAATATTGCTGTATATTATATCTGTATTATATCTGTAGTCAGACAATAAAGTTAGTCCTGTGAGTAGCTTGCCAATGTCCACTAAAAGACTGATGTTTTTCTCCAACATTCTTTCTCAATGTAAATCTAAACTTGGGCAGTGCTGATCTTGGGGAGTGTGAATCCTCACCAATCACATTGGAGAAAGCTAACAACCTGCTAACCTAGAAAGCATGACTGAACTAGCAAGAACGCCTGTTCGTTCAGTCTAATGGCCATGCCAGCGTTCTCTGGAAGCATGTCCAGCAGTAATAAGAACCTTCTTCTTGATGACACTATACAAAAGCTGGATAATGTTTTTAGTGAGCTGTGAACACAGCGAGGATAGTCTACAACATGGCCTGTATATGTAGAAGCCATTTCACTAATTTCTCCTCGCTGCACTCGCGCTGATGTGTTTAGTGTGCTTCAGTGCTGTAGCATGCTGGGAGTGTTGAATGGAAGGCTGTTCCATGTATAATGACACGTCACATGTTTAAAGCACAATTAATAGTAACAACTAAATTGCTTGTCCATATTTATTACAAATAAAAAGAATAAAATAATAAAATAATTCAGTTAATTAGTTTGTCATTGGGTGACATGGAATGGAACAGGATCTCAAGTCAGAAAAATATCATTTTGCCCTTGTGTTTGTACTAAGAGTGGGCCAAAAGTAGCACAATTACAATTTTGGACTTGAAAATAGTACTGAAAATAGTACTGTGTGGCCTGTTGCAACACCTCCACCCATGCCAAGACACATGCTATAATTTTACCCACCAAAATATCAACTGGGGCCAAACAGGATCAAAAGTGCTTGCTCCAAACCAAATTAGCAATTCGCTGGCACAAACACTAAACTGCACTTGCACCTGCATGAAATAAAGGCCTACATGTTTCTAGGAAAATACGGTTTGGAGTTCACACATGATTTGGCATATTATATTAATTCAAACTGGAAGTATAACAGTGTTTTTAATTTTGTTAACTACCTATATTTGTACAGAATTTATTAGGCTTTAATCACAATACTTGAAAGAAACACCCCAGGCTTTGCAGCAGGTGTGTTGGAAACAAATGGCAATTCCTGAAATGACCATGATAGGACATTGCACCTATGTGATTCCACACATGTGATGCTGTAATGCACCACACCATACTAGGTGAATATTTTTCTCAAATGGTTTGATCAGCCAGGAATATAATTAACCCCAAACACTCTATCAATTTTCTCTTTAGACAGATGTCATTGTGAACACAATATCGAATGATCTCGACTTATCAAAAGGCTTCGTTTCCAAAGCAATATTGGAAAAAGCTGGATGGAAAATTCAAGATGAAATAGGAAGGCCAGGGTGGAGGACTATTCCTGATGGCTCCATTACTGAAACTAATGCCTATAAACTGGATTGTAAGGCAGTATACCACACTGTCTGTGCTGTGAAGGGTTCCATTTCCTCAGTAAGTCAGGTTAAATGCCTGAATCATTAAATAATAATCTTTCCATAAAAACTCTGTCATACCAGCTTTTTATAGCTAATAGCAAATTTTTCACCATTTTTTCTTTAATGGCAACTTCAGTTTAATGTCTATTAATTTGTTTAAATCAGTGTCGTGAATGTTTATCTCTCATCAAAACATTGCTCATCTCGTGGGAACATTTTGTTTTTTAGATTCAAAAAGTGGTCACACGTTGCCTTGGAAAGGCTAAGGGTAAAAGCTTTTCGTCCATATCTTTTCCCGCTCTCGGCACTGGCCACCTTGGATTTCAGAAAGAAGACGTTGCTCAAGTAATGATCAGTGCAGTAGTGGAATTTGCCAGGGAACATAAAGGGAAGAAAATGGATGTGTATTTTGTCATTTTTCCAAAGGACACTGAAATATTCAAGGTAAAATTACAGCCTCACTTTGATGTGTGATGTCAGCTTTACTATGCAGAATGTATATCATGTCAAAATGTCAAACGTTTAAAGCATTACTGACAAGTTTGATGTATTTCAGGCATTTGAAAAGAAAATTGATTTCATTAAGAAAACCCAGAGCAGGACCACTGGCCAAAGTAAGATCATCCAAACATTAATTTTAGGTTACTATCAACTTCTGTGATAACTGTTCTGACTTTAGTAGGGACTATATTTACTTGGCCTGTTTTTTTAACAGTATTCATAATTCATAATTAGAGAAACAACATTAGTATATGTGCTGTGGTTTTCGTTGACATTATCCTGATGGTTTACAGGGTTTAATAAAATGTATAAACAAAACAAAAGTTAATTTATAAACAAAACAAAAATGACATGATAAAATTAATGCACTGCATGGCCAAAGTCAACTTGATTCTTTATACTGCATCTTATAAAACAGTGTTTACTTATCTAAAAACTTATTAGATGAGCCATCTTAAAGGCATTGTAAAATCTTATACATGCACATATAATTGCACACATCAGTCAAAATCTGTATTAATGTGTTATTAAACATTTTGCTGATAATAGAGTAATCTTTGACCTACTCTTTAACCTTAACATTGGTGAAATCACCAATATAGTGCTTCTCACTGCTTTATTTTCTTGCAGCGACAGGTTCAGTGTTTTATAATACTGAGGAAGCCAGTGGAACGCCTGTCATTGACCTGTTCTCCAGCTCTTGTGAGGCATTAAGAGAGGCAAAAGCATGGGCATGGAGAATACTGCATATATCTTCTGGTGATATCACAATAAATAATAACCATGTCATCCAGTTTGGCCAGGAGGACCATGGAAAACTGATGTCCCTTCAAACCAAATTTAATGTACTCATCACAGTGTTCTTCAGGGATGGCAAATGTGGCATTACCATCAATGGTGAACCCACAGATGTCAGTTCTGCAGCATTGGAGGTGGAAGTCATGCTTCTGAAGGCCCAAGAGCACTTCGCTAAGGCTGAGGAAAATGACCTGCTGCACTCTGTGGTCTACTGGCAGGCTTTCCCTGGCTCAGAAGAACCAGAGATCAACGCTGCTTTGGAGAAAGCTTACCTTTCGGGTGTTGACAATGAGATTTTTTCAGTGAATGGCAAAGAAGTCAAGATTGATTTCAGGCATTTGCAGATGGAGAACGAAAATGGAGGGGCAAAGATTGATAGGATCAGTAAGTATACGACTGCATTACATGATATGTTTGTACAGTGTTTATTACATCTGACAAGTTGATCAATCATTTTTCCCTCTGTATGCTAGGTATTTTCAGTCTCTATTCCACGTTGCCCAAGTTGAAAAGCAAGTCATATTATGCAAGGACCCCCATTGAAGAGAAGAGCTTTACAGAAGCAGAAAGAAAGAGAAAATTTGAAAAATGTGGCCTGAACGTTGTGAAGGTAAGCCAAAAGCATTTGTTTCACACTATGTTGTTATACCACAGAACTTTTTTCTGATGAAAGCTTTGAATGGAATGTGGTTTTCTTGGTTGTTCAAGGTGGAGAAAATAGAAAACAACGCCCTAAAGCAGGTATTCGAGTTGAACGAGAAGCGAGTGCCAGGTAAATCCAAGCTGCTGTACCAGCGTGTGACAGCACAGTTCTGTGAGCTGATCTGCAGGGTGGGCTTCCAGAGAGAGTATGCGCCACCGGCAGGTATGGCCCACCCCCGCTATTTAGAACGTCCCTGAAGGTTTCCAATACTTGGTGTTAATCTGATGGCTAAAGCTGATTAAGTTGCAGAAAACCTTTAAGGCTGTCATTTCTCTTTCATAAAGAGAAATGTTACTTCTTCATTCTTGGTAATAAGCCTCTTTAATGGTTCTCTTTCCTTCAGAGCAAAAGTATGGAGCTGGAATATACTTCACTACAGAAGTGGAAAATGCTCTAAAGTTGTGGAAGGACTATGAAGAAGAGTATATCTACATCATTGAGGCTCAAGTGCTCACTGGCCAGAGCACAGCTGGGTCACCACAATTGATTGTGCCCCCTCCTACTAAAGCCGACCCTCTCGTCCTTTATGACAGTGTGACCTGTGCTAAGAAAGACACCTATGTCATCTTCAATGGCCAACAGGCCTTACCAGAATTTCTTATCACATGCAAAAACCCAACAACCTCTGTTTAGCTGAATGTTTACTGCATTTGCCACAAGTCATTGTGAAGTAATGACAGAATGTGCACATGTGCGTACATAGCCCAGCCTATTGAAACATGAAGACAGGTTGCATAAGTCACATATAAATCATAGCATATTTATGATAGAAGCAAAAAATATATATCATCCAGTTGCTGTTATGTTAGGTCCACGTCAATATTTAAAAAATAAGGCTTACTAATTTCAATGCTACCAGTAAATCTGTTTCTGTAAACCCAGAAAATGGATGAAAAAGCAAGTCAAGCTTATTATTTTACAAAATGATTTATTTTGGTTATCTTAGCCACAGAACCTCTGCTACAATGTGGAGAAAAAATAGAAAAAGTTAAACTACACACTACAAAACCATTTAAAACAGAAATCATTTGTTGTGTGTGTACATGTTACCAGGCAGACATTACTAATGGCAGATCCTCTTTGGGTTGCTCTGAACATTCACTTTATTTTTCCTGTTTTGTTTTTTTTTAAACCTCTGTATGTTGCTTTGGGCCTACTCACAGTTTTGCTTTCCTTTCTACTGAGTCTCATTACCTGCTTACACCTAGGAATGTGGGAAAACAGGATGATTTATAAAATTATTTTTGTTTCATAAATCACATGGTGATTTAAATAAAATTGTATCCTACTGTAGCGCTGTGAGAATACAATAATGACTTTGCTGGTCAATTATATAGGGATAGGTTACTATTTCTTTAAATACAGCATTTGATATTATATGGACAGAAGGTTATAGTTTCTCTGAATAGAAGAATTGAGGGTAATAAGGTTATATTTTACTAGGATTATTATGGTTTATTTTGTGTGTTGTACTTAAGCCTGTCCAATAATAAAATGCAATAGATTTCAACTTTGCCTCTTATGATTATTTTACTAAGTCAGGGTTTGTCTGACATTGTGTAAATCAGAGTTTTCTTGGTCATGGAGGCCCACTGTCCTGCACCTTATTCCTTAGTGCTTTAAATGCCTCTGGGAAAAAAATTAAGTAATAATAAATTATAAGAACTGAACTTATAGCAATACAGTGATCCTCTATAGTGTTGTTTTACCTGTAAGCAAATGTCAGTTGTGGGTCAGCCTTTCTCAAAATTTCCATTTGACTACAAGAAAGGGATAGCAAGCATAGATGTAATCAAAAGGCTGTAGAGCAAATTCAACATGTACAGATTTAATCTGGTTACACAAATGCAACATTTGCATTGTCAGCCAACACAACAAAATACAGAAACATACAGTACACATACTGTACATGACTTTAAATACAAGAATATAATGTCAAAGGGGCTTTCTACAATAAACAAATACTGAGAGGTACAATATTGACATCAGCTTTAGAAGTTACTCATAGAGAGATTGGTGTTAAAAATGTACGTGTTAAAATTTTAAGAAAAGAAATTCAGGAAAAGCACTTGCAGGGAAGGAGCCTTGCTGTAATTCTTATTTGGGAAAAAAAGAGAATTCCTGTAATCATGTCTAACTGGCCCTTTTTTTTGAGTACTTTGGCATAGATAGGCACTCAACAATGCTATATGGCCAAGGCCTCATCCACACGTATTCAGATATTTCTAAAAACACATTCTCCCCTGTTTAAAGGGGAAAAAACCCCACCCAGAACAGCAGCATTTTTTTTCAAAAATATATCTGTCCACACAACCATGCAAAAATGATTTGAAAATGTTCACATCTGCATGCCAGCCCAGGAGGATGCAATAATACACCCTAAAATTTAAAGCCTTGAGAAGAACATTATGAGCCTGTTTTTTGTGGAAAATATGGAACATATGGAGTTGCAGAAAGGGCATAACAGGATGTTGCAAACACAACACAAAGGCTATGTCAAGAAGTATTAAGAAAACAGTGGTGGTCGAAGTTTGGACTGAAGATGTAGTGATAAATTAAGTAAACATATAATCAGACTCAATATTATAAACCACAAAGAAACTTGATGATCAGCCATGTCAGCTACACGGAGCCTTGAATCTTACTCGAAACAGCAGTGACCATGTGCAAGCTGATGCCCAGATCAGCACTTTTTCAAATATTTTTTTCTGAAATTTTTAAAAGCTCTGTTTTCAGTGGCTTAAACGCTGTTTTCATGTGGTTGGGTTTTCAAACAGGAGAGAAAAAATAAATTTTCAGAAACTCCCATACACCAGTGGAAAGGGCCTTAATAAGCTGTGCTAGGGGGCTTCAATGAAGAAGGCAGGTGGTAATCTTTCATCTTGTAGGCTGGGGATCTTTTAATGCAAGAAGAGATTTATTTGCTTTTACTACATATATATGTTAGTAAATGTAAAATAAAAATAATGTAACATAAAAACATACCCTATCTCAGAACATATTGGACCTTCCATCTGTTAGTAGAAATGACAGTGAAACAAAAAAGTGCACTTCCATAGGAATGTTATTGCCATAAATCCTTGCCCTCAGGTGGCGGCTGGTGGACCTGAAGAACCTTTAAGGGTACTTGTATAATGCTCTAAATATCTGTAAACATCTGTACTGCACATTTATTCCTAACTAGACCACTTGTCAGTTTTGAAGACACGATGATGGTGCCACCACACATGTAAAGAATAAACTGTTTAAGCATTTTACAGTCCATACAATCAGTGTATGCAGCAATGTGGACCAGCTCCATTTTGCCAGTTGGTCTTCTTTCTGAAGGCTTGAGGTCAAAGTGAAAGTGAAATACTTTACAAGGTGGGGGAATTTCTCAACCTGCAAATCATTGTGGAGATTAAGTTTCTTATTTTCCACATCAGTATACCTAAAAGGGAAACAAAGCTGGCACACATTGTATGCTTTTACAGTAACATGAGTTCATGTTCAGTGTAAATTCAGACTAAGAAAGCAATATCTGACATCAATATCATTGACATTATATATTTTACCAAACAATTACTTCTACACCTTGTTTCATTGCTGGTGAACTAGTGACACATTACAGATAAAACTCCTACTGATAAGAATCAAGATCATAGTGGTTAGTGGTAAAAATCATGTGCTCTATGAAATGTCGGTCATGGCCTGCTTTATTGTCTCAGATTAATGTTTGACAGGAAGTTAACACCAGGGCTACTTATGCTAATGTGCCAATGGCAATGTACTCAGTTATGTTGGCTCTATGACTGGTAAAGTTGGACACCACAATCCATGGCATTAATGTAATGCACAAAGACACACACCTACACAAACATCTCTGACTCACACTATTCCCCAACCTCATGCATACATACGGGCTGTGGCTAGAAGTTGCCTCTTTATGCTGAATCGGGACCAGGGCTAGTATTCACAAAGCTTCTCAGAGCAGGAGCACTGATTGAGGTGTACAAGGGCAACTACAAGACTGACCTGAGATCAGATTAAAATGGCAACTTCCACCAACACAGCTTCTCACTCAGCAGCCTCTGACATTTCAGTGCCGTCCACCAGGAGCGTGTGGATGATGCCATCTCTCCTCCTCCCGCTGCTTACGGCCTTAATGCAGCAGTCGTGGTCGCCCAGAGTGAAATGAGTTTCCGTTCCGTCATCTACAAACTCCCCCTGGCAGTGCAGGGATCAATTACTATTATAATAGTACAATCAGTACTATTGCAGCTTTGAATACTTGAGCTAATGAGATTTACTTTTTAGAATGTGTGAAGGTTAATTTCCATTTTGTAGTCAGAATGTGTTACAACTTAGGCTTATTTAGAATTAAATAAAAAAAATAACCCAGGCCAGTGGACAACTAACTGTCAACACCTTTTATTTAAAGTGATTCATTTGTTTGGCTTAAGAATCTTTTTTTACTTACAGCTGTCTCCATTTTCTGTCCATTGCACCAAATGTCCATTGTATCTTTCTCTGTTTAGAGAAAACATACCATCAATGAAGCCATTTGGTGCACCAGATAAAAAGAGATAAGTGATAAAACGATGGAAACGAAGTGCTCCAGGTAAAAAGAGCAATAAAATGCAGACACTTCCAATATCAGGCAGGCGTTTCATTGGTTTTCAGTTAGTATCACAGTACAGTTTAATGTTTAATCAACAATGGAGAAAAACAAAGCTACAGACAACTGTTTATGGTTCTGCCTCTTTACAGCCATTCACAAAGGGCAAAGGGTATGGAAAATCCCTGCTACAGGACTCACGCAAATTGCAGGGGACTCTTTTTGGCTGTGCCACGCCTACCTTTTTTGTTTGTAACTGGCGTAAGAAACAGCAACGCCTAGAGGGCCAACGAAACTGCAGAGACCACTGTTGCCTGACAATGTGAGTAGCTTTGCCCTAACACACAGGCCTAATGCATCTCTTAGCTTAGACTGGCTGGTACACTACTGCAGCTGAGAGAGGCCAACCAGTTTAAGTAGGTTAAAGGATTAATGGATGCTTCGGGGTTAGCTCTTAATCTAGTGTGGCACCATGACATAACATTTGACTAGTCTTAAATGGAAAAGTTGGTATCCAAAGCTAGAAAACAAACAATGTATTACTTACTTTATTCAACTAAGTGGCTGTATAGCCACTATAAAAAGGCATAGCCATGGTTTTTTGCATCAGTTAGTGTATAATTTGATTGATCACTTGAATGTAGCTCTGATATGCAGTGCTTTATGAAATGTACTTCATTGTAAATGAACACAGCTGCACAATGTACTCCTCTCTCCTTGCCTCCATTTGCCACCATCAGACATAATACTCACTATCAGACTGTTTTTGAACAACATTGTTTCTTGTAATTCCCCATATTACCTGAATAGAAAAAATGAATGTAAGGATTGTTGCTTGCTTTGTATATTATAAGGATGTTGTCTGTACCAATGCCATATGTAGCCTCTATACAAGGTGGCCTATGTGCTTATAACTTGTGCTTGTAAGCTGTTCAGCAGTTAATGTCTCAGTCTAAACCAGGTCTGAAGTTGACTGGATGTCCCTAGCCTGAGGAGCTATTTCTGACTACAAGAACTTATCCAGTGTTCATTTGAGCAAACACATATTGTGTTTTTATGTGTGGTTTAATGCACGAGGAGCTTCTTACCCAGGACCACTCTGCAGTCTATGCCATCTAGGTTGAGCAGCCAGGTGCTTGTCACCTTGGAACGGTTCTCCATATACTTCTTCAAGCTTTTTCCATTAATCTCCAGAGTGTACTCATAGGCAAAGCCGCTCACTGCGTCAATGTTAATGGTGGCCTTCGTGTCTGAGCTGCCCACATTAAAGCTCTCTTTGCCAACCAGTTTGAACATCCAGTCTCTCCTGAGAACTTCCTGTCAAGGAAACAATCAATTTCCCATTACTTACTCTTTAAGGCTATGTTTAATTTGTTTATTCCCCAAACTTGGAGAGAATGCTGGGTAACATGACGTCTACTGGCTGTAGAAGGACTTAAGAACAGAGTTAACAGTCAGTGCCACCGTTAATACTGCATCTAGATTCTCACCTTCCCATCTACGTAAATGACCCTTTTTCCCGTGGTTGTGCCATGTTCAAATTCAATCCTGTGGACGCCATCACTCAGGGCCACCTCCCACACACCGACTAGGTCACCAGACATGGTCCTGTGGTGAGATCCCTGGACCCTAGATAACAAACTGCGAGAACTACACATCAAATTGGAAACTTGTGATGAATTACCAATAATCCAAAGCAAAAAACAACAACAATTTTCTATTACCCTTAATCTAGTCATTGGGCCAAGACATATTTGGTATCTGCTGTTAGTTTCTTCAGTTTTGCACTGGAGCTACAGGGCTAATGTAACAGTCTATGTCACCGAAAAGATGTTCAATTACTATTTTTTAGCTACTTATGCTTTTAGCATCAGAGCACTAAAAAACACAAAGTTCAGGCACCAAATATGTCTTGGCTGATCAGCTACACTTGATGTGAGGGCAAAATTAGGTAAAAGTATTTTTTTTTTCTTTTTTTCTGTGACAAATGCTTCAAGTAGCATTTAGCTCTCCATGGGTTGCTGAAGCTATTACTACTGAATACGTAACGCCTATGGGGCTATGTCAAAAATAACATAGCGTGTGTGTGTGTGTTCGTAATGGCACTTTAGGGGCTCAGTGAACAACAGATCTAACGCCCTTAGTTTCAAAAGTCTTCATAGTCTCTCTAATAATCCCGTGTTCCTTCAAAATACAATTCTCTGTTCTCTTAACCAGGGTCCCATCCGAGAGAAATGTTTAGGCTCCTTTTTGCGGGACACTACGTTCACCCAGAGAATCAGATCACCCAGCTCATCAGTTTATACGCCTACGTGTAGCTAGATAATGATGGACAATTTAATTCCTAACATTAAATATACCACTTTAACAATAAGAAGGAAAATGAAAATATCTGGCAACGCTGATTAAATCTCCTAGCTAGTTAAATACGAATTCTCCTCTCCACTTCTGGACTCTCCACTGTTCCAGAATGGCCCTGTTTCTAAAACAGTGACATAAATACCAATATTTTATTTTTACAAAAGCATGGAGATGCTTTTAACGTGAACGCTTTACTACACAGTCACTATATCTGAGTCTTACATGAACCATATTCTCAGAAAACCAGAGAAGTTTCCTGTCGGTATTCGCTAGCTTCTCGTTCTAATTTTCCCGTTCCACCTTAAGAACTGCGCAGCAGTTACAACGAAACTGCTGCACCATTTAAGGTGGAACGGGAAAATTCGAACAAGAAGCTGTCAAATGAGAAGCTTCTTTTCGGCTATGGAGAGAAATACCTGATAACACACCTCAATACTCGTAAAAGGTTGTAAATCACTTTAATTCGTGTGAGAAATTATTATTTAGCTAACAAGTTAGCCAGCTGACTACCCAGAGTTTTGCAGTGAACTGCACAAACTGGTTAGCTGAATCTTAGCCAGGTTAGCAGAAAGCAGTGAGCTAAGGTAGCGTTAGCTAACGCTAAAGTTTCTCATGGTGTCTCCTCAGCCTGCTCAGCAGAACTAACGCTATCTTACTAAAGCACCGAAGAGAAAAAGAGTCATTTACCCGAGCTATAAAACACACAGCGGCGACAGCTCAGCGTTTCTCCAGCAGTCCTTTACCGGCTAAGTAATTAGCTTTAGCACATTAGCTCCTGAGCTAATAACAAACCAGTTTTCTGCTTAACAACTGTTGCCATGGGAACAGAAACCCCTTCAGTTCGCCACCTACTGCTTGTTAGCTTGTTAGCAAGGATGGAAACTGTGGAAGCCCATTCCCACCACTTAAAATAAAACAAAAAGCCCGCACGTTATTTTTCATTTCTAAATTAATTGCTATGTCATTATTTTACGATACTAAGCCGTTATATTGAAATACTGTCTCATTAAATTGAGATGCTAAGTCATTATTTTAAAATAGTAATTAATTTGAAATACTAAGTCATTATTTTAAGATATCTCATTAATTTGAGATGCTAAGTGATTATTTTGAGAAACGTTCTCGTTACTTTGAGAAACTTTTCTCACTGTTTTGAGATGTTTAATACTTGGGACATGGGGGAAAAATGACATGGGTTTTTCTATGATGGATAAAAAATGCACTCCTGCCTGCGAAATGACCTGAGATTTCTTTCTCTCAAATTTATATATCTCGGGATAATTATCTTGAGATAATTATTATGAGGGGAAAGAAATCTTGAGATTTGTAGGGAAACCTTAAGCGCATGACCTACTCTGCCCTATAGATGGCATCAATACGCCATTTAGGCACCTCCGTGGCGCTGGCCCCCCAAATACTACTATTTGTTTGTGCTGCGTTTGTGCTGGCAGCGTTTTTGAGAAATTAAACATTATATTTTAACGTCAGTGACGTCACTCAGCCCCCCATCAACGTCTGTGTTTGTGCTGTTAAAAGAAATATGTGTGCTCTTTTAGTACTTAAGTTATTGGAAAAACAGTTTTTGTCAGGAGCGATGACATCATTTATCACATGATTGACACTGGTTGATGATGAAGATCTAGGAAGCGCGCTTTTTGCCTCCTCAGGGGCCGAATATGTGATTACAACAGATCATCTGGCTTTTTCAGCTTTAATTATTCAGCTTCATAACTGCACTGAGTAGAAGTTCGGAGCGACTAAGACTGATGATTAAAAATGACTAGTTACAAAAAACCTGCATGAAAAGGAATATGTTAGAAATCAGTGTCTTTTTATTGTTACTCTGATTAAACAAATCACTAATAAGAGCATATCAGTCGTAATTGCTCTGTGGATGAGTTTGTGTGGTCAGTAGGGAAAAGTCAGTGCATCTAACAATAAAGGAAGACTTGTGCATTTTATACATAGTGATATAAACCATGATACCAGACAGAAAGCATCGATTCTATGCAGTTTAACTTTGGCCAACATGGATTTGCATGTGGTGAACTCCTCTGGTGGCAGATTTGAACAAGTTTAAGGGTCAATCGCCAAATTCTCAAAATAGCTGCCTGGTGAGACACTCAGTTTGATCAAATTAAAACTCCTCAAAACCACAATTAAAGCTTTTCTCAGGGTTAATATGCCACATTTTCGTATGTTTTATAGTGTTTAGACATCAAACAATCAATACATTTAGAAAACGCACATACATATGTTCAACGATTATTCGACTTAGTCGACTAAAATCGACAATCAAATTAGTTGTCAACTAATTTGGTAGTGGATTAGTTGGTGACGTCATTACGCGTCTCTCTCACGCTCACTAGGAAAGCTTTGACATTACCATTTACTGGAGAGTTAACAGCGCGACGGTAGCCTCAAGAACAGAATCCTCAAAAGTGTGGCAGCATTTCACGCTGAATTCCAAAAAAGGTTGTCAGTTGTGCTATTTGTAAAGCCGACCATAGCTGACTATGGGAGCACATCATCCATGATGGAGCATCTGAAGAGGAAACACGTCAGTTCACTGGATGAAGAAGATCTATCACGGTAAGATAGTTGTGCTAGCGAGCTAGATAATGCTAAAGCTAAAACCTGTTCTACTTTATGTTCAGAGGTGTAAGTAACGGATTACATTTACTCTTGTTACTGTACTTGAGTGGTTTTCCCTGTAACAGTACTTTTTTGAGTAGAATTGAATCATAGTACTCTTGCTTGAGTTCATTTTTAATAAAATAGTTTTACTTCGCTACTTTATTTTTCATAACGTTACAGAGTAAAAATAAACTATGAGCGTATCAGCTTAGAAACTAGTACGAACGATGCAACAAAAAACAGCAGCTCCGGCAAGAAAAACACTACAGAGATGTCCAGTTTAGTGAATAAGGACATAGGAAAACTGCACCAGCACACGGGAGGAACAGGCCGCGTCCAAACGGTCATTTGTGTTCATTTAACATGAACTAAAGAAAACTGAGTTATTATCAGCGGCCATACAAGAAACCTGCCGAGATCCGCTCTCACAACTCGACTCCAGCCTGAGGCAGCGTTAGCCGAGCTAGTTGATCCGAGTTAAACAGGTACCGTGTTTATGAAACTTAAAATCTGCTGTGTATATTTTATTACAAATTCCTGTCAGCTATTTTAGTCAACACGTGTCGGTACAGTTTACCCATTTAAAATACAGCCTGGTTTAGCCGCTGTTTTGGAAATAAACGGTCGTGAACGGCTAAAAAATCTAGTCTAATACAGGATCTTTGTAAACTCAGAACAGTGGTTCGGTTGTTGACTGGCCTGATCTGATCCCTCCCCACCTCCCCGCCCTCTCTCTCCGTCTCTCTCTCTCTCTCATCCTCTGTCTCTCTCTCTCTCTGTCTCTCTCTCTCTCTCATCCTCTGTCTCTCTCTCTCTCTCTCTGCCTTGGTGTTTGTCTTTAACTGTGAGAGGCTGTGCAGCCGTTTAACTGTCTAATGCAGTAATAATGTCTGATTCTGTATGAAGTGATCAGCATGATTAGTGAAATATATTACAGTAAAATCAAAGCTGGGTAAGTTGTTGATGTTGCTGCTGATTTTAATGGTGTAAATGTTCTAAACTGATATCAGTGAAAATATACAGTGTGAAGGCTGTGCTTGTGTTTACTGTCTGTAGAGGGTCACACCTGTTTACGTAAGCTAGAGTCTAATACTTTATTAGAAACAGATAAACTAGGACGTCATATAATCATCTGACTATGAAATGCATACAGTGTAATGTAAACCTTGTTCCTTATACAGTTTACAGAAAAGTGTGTAACTATGCTCTAGCAGAGCGAACTGTGATCAGTCTCAGCTCTCAGAACTTTAGCTTTAGTGTTTTTCTGTACAGATTATTTCCAATGACGTAGCCGAGTCAGCTCAGAAATATGTTCAGGTTCTGAAAGCAGAAATAAGAAAAAGTAACTAAGTAACTCAGTACTTAAGTAATTTTTTAATGAACTACTCACTTACTCTTGAGTAATTTTGTTTACTGATACTTTTACTTGTACTTGAGTAAATTATCACTACAGTAACAGCACTTGTACTTGAGTAGGGATTTTCAGTACTCTTTACACCCCTGTTTATGTTATAAGCTTTATCACCTATTTAGAAATGCATGTGCTGTTGAATCGGTAATGGAGCTGGAACAGAGAAGCAAGTAACTGTTATACACAATGACCCTGTTCACTTTCCAGATAACACTTAAAGTTTTAAACACCGCATCGTCGTCTTAACGTCGAGGCCACCAGTGTGTTCAAATTCAGCACACATAGGAGAACATTTGCAAACAGTTTTCTGTTGTCCGCAAACGTTTGTCACCACTCACAGTCGGTTTCAGGAGGTAGTTCTATGTGAACATAAAGGGTTACCGTTAAAATTAAATGTTTACACAACATCGTTCAAATTTAACTGTTCATAGAGAACAAGTTTGCCACAATCATTCACCACTTCCCCCATCCGCTCCATCAGAGCGCATCTTCTCTGCAGCAGAATATCTGATCTCAGAGGAGAGCGAGATTCTCACAAGAGCATGGAGAGATGCTGACTTCCTTCCGCTTCAGTAAAGTCCTGTGATTGTAGAATTTAGTTGCAGCAAAGTGTAGACAGACAGCAGAATGTAGAAAGCACAGACTGTACTGTTTAAATTTAAAATATAAGTTTAGACAGATTTTTTATTTCCCTGATTAAAGGAAAGCCGATTTAGTTTTGTTATATTTTTTGCTGCTACTTTGCACGTCCTTGATTTTAAATTTTGACAGGAAACAGATATTGGAGTTTTATTTATCTTTTGTATTAGCATGAAAGTTTATAATTAATTTTTGAATAAGTCATTCATCTTTATTGTCTTCATTGTAACTTAGCAAATGCATAAAACAATGTAAAACTAAAATTAAAAGCTCATAGCTACATGAGTCATCTCATAATTTAGTGATTCATAATCCGAATAATCAGTTATTTATTTCAATAATCGATAGATTATTCGACTATGAAGTTAGCCGTTTGTTGCAGCTCTAATACATATTAAAAGGTCTTGCGACAATTCACAACAACTAGATTAGACGTTTTCATTGGTTTATCTAACTAATGAGAGTAAATTTAGCCGTATAAATAAATAAATAAACACATACACAAAGTATTGTGCTGTCAAGGGCATTTATTTATGCTAGCAGCATATTCTGGGCTTTTTTCAAATTCAAAGACTAATTTGGAAATGCTAAATAAATTGTGTATTTATAACTGCCTTTCCAATGTGAGTGTGTATTTAAGACATAATTGTAATTAAAATACAAAATGTGTATTTATATTTGCATTTCTGAGTGTAATAGCTGGAAAAGTGTATATGTAAAGGCAAAGTGCGTTTAAAATTTATTTTCAATAACTTTTTTAATTCTAAGAATGGAGGAACATTTGCAGTTGCATTGCCTCATCGTCGCTCCAGCTCTGCCAAAATGAAAATGTATTTGCAATCCTGTTTACAATTGTATATTGACTGTTAATGAAGCTGTCCTGTCAATCAAACAATGTGTGTAGGACATTGGGTGGGACTGTTTAGTGTGTTTAGACGTGTGTTAAGAGAAAAATCAAAGTCCAAGTTTATTTATAAAGCACTTTTTACAACAG